TTAGTGGGAGATGCCGATCGTATCCGGCGGCGTGTTCCAGAGGCAGGAAAGTTATAGTCCTCGTCATTAGGGTTGTCCAGTTTGAACTTCGGGGTTTCGTAAAGAGCCCTTTCACCTGAAGATATTCCTACCAGGAAGGAGGGAGTAGAGGAGCCAGTCCCAGTATTGTGGGCCTGGCAGAAGAAGCTGGGCATCTTACTTTAAACAGCCCTAGTGAGGGGAGGAGTAGTAGACCAAGAGCTGGCCTCAACCGTAGCGGTAGTCGAGTTGTCCTTGGCGGTGGGGACGGAGGATTTGTGGACTACAGACTGAGAATCTTTGGGAGGGGAAGGTACAGGGGCTAGAGAGTATTGCGAGCCACGGTCTGAATTGAATCGAACGAAGAGCTCTGTGGTAGTGTCTTTGCGCAAGCCACACATGGCTGAACAGCTTCTCCCAATCAGGAAACCTCTCACCAAAACCTCCAGTTCTTTCATCGTGGCAACAGTCACGTCAGTGACCGTTTGCCGAACCAAGTCATCAAACTGCAGGTTCACCGCATTCTGACACCCATGGCAGTGGTGAAACCATAGAAAACTAAAGTTCCCTTTGGGTGCAACATACGACCGTGTAGTTGTGGGGATGAGGTCACGGTCAGCCTCAGTAGCAGGAGCAAGAGACAAGGCCGTACGGGCTGTCTCAAGTGAGGAGGAAGGGTTGGAGTTGAACCGAATGAGGGACGACATCCTCAAAGGGGGGGAGAATCCGTGGAAGAGGAGGCTGTCGAAGATGCCATCCTCGCCCAAACTATACTCAGTGATTACTGGGACCAGGCCACGGATATCTCACATTGAAGTATCTTCTAAGCAAGAACAACTACTTCTAACTGACCGCCCGAAATGAAAAACACAAACAGGTAACAGTAGATGAAGTATTTATCGCGAGTGAAATAAGGTAAAGTATTGGTTATGCTCACTTCTGACACGGAGTGTAAGAAGTAGAAAAAGTACTTAGAACAAAGCGTGAAGAACCTATCCTTCTCGGCCACATCGGCCTCCTTATATAGTATTCTTTCCGCCCATAGTCATGTGATCCAAAGTGGTCACATGTACGAAACCAAATCATAGCAAACTAATCATGAGACCAAAATGGTCACATCCTCAAAACCCATGACCTCATAACAAGGTCATGTGCAAAAACTCATAAACCAATCATAACGCAATAAATAAGTCATATGACTCGACTGAGTCATATGCGTGAAACCCATGACCTCATAACGAGGTCATGTGCGAAACATAAATCATATGCGTAAGGCATACCCGCAAGGTACACTCGCAAGGCACACTCGCCAGGCGCACGTCACATGACTTATATTTGAGCCATGTGCGAAAGCATCACAAATCCCACACATAACAAATCATATGACTCGAATGAATCATATGTGTGAAACAATAACATACCTGTGACTCATAACTATGTGTCACGTGAAAACCTTTTCCTCGCTAAGCCACATTCGTGACAGTGATTTGGAATCTTGGCGCACTTGAGGTACCGCCTGAGAAGGGAGACAAGTCAAACCCGGAGTAGTAACAATAGGTATTACCTTACTAGTAAAGTTATATTACTTTATGATGATATGAGTTTACTGTTCGTACAAGCTAGTTTCTAGTATGAATGAAGAGCAGAAGCAAGAATTGGAGGATAAAGTACATGCATAACTGTTACATGTTTAAGCATTGAAGTTATTTCTTCCGCCATTCTCTTTCAAGATACGTAGATTGGGGTGAAACTTTCTACAGTACCTATCAATAACTCCTTGTGGTATCACAAGCCATTCCTTCTGAATAAGCGCCTTATATTTTTCAATATCCTTTCACCCCTCACCAGTAGGCCTTACATGCTTGGCCAATCAGTTCTTCAATACTCATCAGATTGGTTCAATCTTGTTCAAATTTAGCGAATTGGCCGGCCAAACAGGAAGTCCATAAACATGGGAGTCTTTATGAGGTATCCTGCAAATCCCTCACTTTTCCTCTTCTTCAGCATCGAGCCTTGCTGCTTGCATGTAGTTTCCAGTGTTGTTCTCAAGTAGCCAAATCTTCATCTTTCTCTCTTGACTGAGGTGTTCTAGGAATGGGTAAACCAGGGGCCATAAAACCTCCTTTCTGTACATAAACTAGTCAAATCCCTCACCCTTGCTGTGTTCTCTAATCTCTTCTCCAAATTTCCACCCAGGGTTTCTTCAGTTTTTTCGTGGATCGCCCTCTTTTTGTTGTGTATTGTACTCATTAATTTTCTGACTTTTGGCTTGTAGGTATTCAAACTCTTCAGTTCTAGACTGTAAGGCATGCTTTCTTTTTTCAGCAACTCTCTGAACTTTTGCTTGGTTTTCCTGCTTAAGTTCCTCAGCATTATCCTTTCTTTCTACTTGAGTTTCTTTCTCCTATATATAGAGTATCCCTTTATGGCCAATAGAGATATAAGCAGGAAGTATAAGGCTAAAGAGTGGCTTATCAAAAGGAAGAATGAAGTTGTAAGAGTTTACACTATATAGTCGAGTAACTTTCTGATGTCCTCGGGTTCCTCCAATTTTAACCCAAGTCTCATCCGTAAACACAAAAGCTTCTACTGGTTGAACTAAAGTCCAATCTGCAAGCAGTACTCAAGCATTCCAATCTCGGTGTCCTAGCTTTAGCTTTCATTGAAGATTGAACTGCCCGAAATGATGATGCTCTTTCATGATCTTATCTGTATACAAGCGAGATATATGGATATCAGCTTCTTTGGCAAGCTTCGGGTACATCTTTTACTAATGCTCAGGATTGGCAAAAGCGAGTTCTTTTAACCTCTCAGACTCTTGGGAGCCTTTTGGAATTTTCTGTGGAATGGAAGGCTCTTCTCTCTCCTTATCCTCAACATTTTCCAGCATGTTGAGTAATGTTTTCACTCCCTTTTCCCGATTCTAGAGACTCATATTGTTAGCACTGGCATCCTCTTGTATCTTGCATCGGTATCAGGCTATCAGCTCTCATATTCTACATGAGATTTACTTACCTTAGTTCGATAACATATTTTTTGAATTGTTTCCACTGAAACAGTATCCTCTAATGCCTTGCTAATCCCATCATAGGTCAGGTCCGCACCCATTCTCATACCAAGGATTACTCCTCATAGCAGGAGGGAAAGGCTTTCTCCACAAAGTATCGAATAAAAAAAAATAAAGTCCCAACTGAGGTTTTTGCTGTATCTAAGTTTTCTTAGCTGATATATGAATATAGGGCTTGAGCTATTTAGTTACGTCACTTCAGTATCCTAGTTGTCACTGTCTGCTGGAACAAAATTAACCTAACTACTGCCAAGATTCTAGATCACAGAGGCATTCTTGGCAAAGATGTGTGAGTACTGCTCTACCTGGTCTGCTGCATACCTCCTCGCCAAAAGGTTCACCATGTACTGTTTTTCACAAAAAATACACCTGTACCGAAACACTTGTACCTTCTACGTACCGAGAGCTTCGAACCTCCTTACTGTGAAATTTTGAGGATGTTATACTTGGAAGAGTACGAGAGGTTTGCGAATGCGGTTGTACTCGTACAGTATCCTGCTCTGTTTGCAGATAGCCCCAAATTTCATCAAAAGATAACATTATTCTGAGGTTTTTTTTTTTTTTTTTGTTAAATCGTAGAATCTATTTGCTTAAAGGTGCAAACCTCCACTATAAGAGCACAGCCCAGTTAAAGCATGGATCCTAGATACAAGGGCACCTCTGCAATAACCGCCCCACATCCCCAATTTAGTCCTTAAACATGTTGGTCAAAAACCTCCTCCACAGGCCTAGGGGAAAACAAGCTAGTCCAAGTCCCTCTGGTATGGAATCAACCGCACATCTGCCCCCATGAAAGCTCCTTCTGCACAAAACAAAAAAAGCACAAAACAGAACAGGCAGGAGCCAACAAGAAAACCTATACTGTATTCTCTTGAGAAAGGAAACACAAAGGAAACTCAACAAAGGAAACCACCTTGATAAACCACATTCCCCATTTTTCAGCTGGTCCAGCTTTGACTAGCAGCTAAGAATATAGGGGAGAACCATGATATATTCACTTCATGTGATGAAGGCAGTCAACCTGGACATGCCGGCCTCCAGTGGAGTGATTGTTTATGGCTGGTCAGATGGGGGCATGACCGGAGACTGTGCAATACTAACCACGCATTGCCGAGTAATCCAAACATTGGTAAAGAAGTAAACCCGACCGAGCCAAAAAACCCAGCGGGGTGGAGGAGTATTCGCAACCTCATACAGCTTAGTCGAGGTGGCCACCATGGAGGGAGGAGGAGGACAGGAACCACAATCTCGCAAAGAGACCAAAGTCCAATAACAGAGGAGGTGAAAATTTCATTTAGCCCCACAATGAAGTTTGGTGTTCAGGCCTATGAAGCTTCCAAAGTTCAGCACTGAAGAGGGGATCATGAGGTTGTAGTGTGTGGTGTTGACACCCGCCACCACCTTCCCAAACAGGAAGGTGAAAAGCGGGGTCAGGAAGATAGCGGAAGAGAAGCTTGATAGCGGAAGAGAAGCTTCAAACATTATCCCGAGGCCCTCTATAATACTTGTATCATACAAATGACTGGACTGCCGGTATCATACATGGACACACCCCGTTTCGTGATACGGTGCCGCCAATGGTAAATTTAGTTGAGATCTGGCAAGAACTACGGTACGGTAACTGGTATGATACAATAAGTATCATATCATATTCATCCCCATGATCTCCATAACCTAACCTAATCATCCGCCTTAATCATCCATCTTGCCCTTGGTTTACAGTAGCCTCGTGTGACGCCTACCGTATCACGCCCGCAGTTTGTGTTACCGCGGATAGCTTAGGGAGGAATGAGTTATAGATAGGGTGCAATACTGGTAGTCTAAGTGGCGGGTCCCCCCGTAATTTATGGAGCACCGGCACAGTATCATGCCCATGATAGCGATGAGCAACTTCATCCCTCACTCTCCTCCACCCCTCCCTTGTCTTACCTACTGTACTGTACAGTGGTCGCTATCCGTCTCCCATCGCGAAGACAACCACACACAGAGCTCACCGTCGATATTAAATATCACCCGTCTCAAACCGCACCGCATCCCTTCCTACAGTTACCTCGCATACTTTACTAGTACAAGTACTGAAGAGTGTACCGGTACCGGTACACTATAAGCACTGCGCTGATTCAGCAATAACTACCTAACCTCCCCACCGCTCCAGTCGACTCATACTCTCCGCATCTTTCCCCTCGGTGATCATCCTCCAATTACAGACCCGTGCCAGGCTGTAAGAAGTTTGTGCGCAATCTTCATACGTCAACGCAAAGCCATTAGTGTTGTTCTGTCTTTGCTCCTTCTGCTGCTAACTGCAGCCGGTAACCCCCCTCCACCTCTCTCCACCCCCAAACAGATCAACCACGTCCCTTGGTGACGAATAGAATCGATCCCCCGCATATCCGCTCACGCATCCATTCTTCCACCTGCCTTCTGACACGGGGAGGCACAAATAAGGATAATTAATTAATTAATTTTTTAAACTGTCCTCTGGAAGGGGCAAAATTGGAAGGCAATATTTATCCCTCCCCTGGGGTTCCTCTTTATTTAACCCTATCATGAGCCTCCCCAACTTCGATTTCCAGCGATTGTTCCAAAAATTCCTCTGGGATCCCGAGCCAAAGAATACAGATCCGATGAACTCTATATGGTGTTTGGGCCAAGAATACCCTAGTGCTGGGCTTCCCCAATCGCCGCCTCCGCCCCCCCCTTCCACCGAGAACAGTATCATTAGGGGTCATGATAACTATAGGGAAGCCGAGGGGAGAAATAGGGGTCAAGAGGAGGAGGGGGATACAGGGTGGCCAAAAGCTTTCTTGGAAGATTTCGAGTCGACTCTGTGGATGACGTATCGTAGCGATTTTAAACCCATCCCCCGTGTAGCGGATTATAATGATAAGCTCACTTTCCTGACGAGCATACGGAGCCATCTTGATAAAGCGGAGGGCTTTACAAGTGATTCTGGATGGGGCTGTATGATACGGTCAGGGCAAGCGGTGATTGCCAACGCCCTGGCTCATTTACGGTTGGGCAGAGGTATGAGAAGGCCCACCTCCTGGATTCTATCTATCCAAGGGTTATAGAGCTTACCGTTGCTGTAGGGTGGCGAAGGGGGATGAAACCCGAAGAGGAGAAACGGTTGTTGGCTTTGTTTGCTGATGATCCGAGAGCTCCATTCTCGATTCACAAATTCGTTCGGCACGGAGAAGTCGAGTGCGGGAAGAATCCAGGGGAGTGGTTTGGCCCTAGTGCTGCCGCAATGTGCATTCAGTGGGTTACACTTCTTTCCTAATATCCCCACTGCAATATTGTTAATGACTCGCATTCAGAGCTCTCACTCATGCTTACGAGCCGGCTGGTCTACGGGTTTACCAAACAAATTCGAACGATCTCTATGAGGAAGACTTCCGGAAGGTTGCCGTTGTGAATGGGGTGTTCAAGCCGACATTGGTTCTTGCTGGGATCCGGTTAGGAATAGAAAGAATCACGAATATCTATTACGAACCCCTGGCAGCGTGCCTGCGGATGCCGCAGACCGTCGGAATCGCCGGGTGTGTCTTTCCATCAGTCATCCCCCCATACAATAAGACAAGATCGTTAACGCACGATACAGTGGACGTCCTTCATCATCACACTACTTCATTGCGGTTCAAGGGGAAAACTTTTTCTACTTAGACCCTCACACCTGCAGACCGATCCTACCTTTTAAGGAAAACCCACAAGATTATACGGAGGAAGAGGTTGACACGTGCCATACGAGGCGAATTAGAAGACTGCATATCAGAGAAATGGACCCGAGCATGTTAATAGCGTTCTTGATCAGGGATGAAGCGGACTGGGAAGATTGGCAAAGGCGAATCAGTGAAGTAGATCTCCCCTTCCCCAGAATTACAGTTTCAACTCACCCTCCGATAGCCAGAAAAGAAGGTCATTCTTGTTAGCGATAGCGAGCCATCCGGAAGCTGGGTACCTAGAGAGGCAGCAATCGATGAGGTGGAGGCCTTCGAAGACGATGATTTTTAAGGCGCTTGTGTACCGATTCAGGAATGAAGGACTGAATAAATGACATTCCCGATATTTCGATACCCATTTAAGTTGGCGAAAAAGAAGGGTTACGAGCGTATGGAGGACTCCGCTTGAACGGGGCATTGTGACTCTTTTTCATTCGTGATTTTCTCTTTCCTATCAACTCCTTTACTCCCTTTATTTGTTTATTCTCCATTTCCTTTTTTCCTTTTTTTTATGCTCTCCACTTGTCTTGATTGGTTTGGGGTACGAGTAGACTCTGTGTTTTCATTTCCTTCTTTCCATCCATATCACCGGTATGTTTCGCTCTCTCCTTTCTCTCGTTCACTTGTTTCATCTTTGGTTTATATGGGCGGGGTTAGCTTGATTCGTTAGTGTCTTTAAACGGCTGCAGTACGGTACTGGTGTGGATCCAAGTTTACGACATTGTCCGGATGGGTGATGGAATTCTGGTTCAAGATAACATACCAGTATATACTGGTATTAGTATATAACTTACGACTGGGGATACCAAGTGGATTTTGATAGAAAACTAATACATGTTTGCAATAAAGCCGCCTCTGCAAATACGCCCGTGCTGCAAAATACCCTTACTATCAGCACCGCATTATACTCAGAGGCAAAAGCCTCCGAACTATAACTTTTTTCTTTCCCTTTGCTTTGTTGCTGGAAGACTCCAAGTTTCCATACTATACCCGAGAGTACAGTACATCGAGTAACATATCATTACCCTGCCCGCGAATTTCAGACATATACCGTGCCAGCACCCTACTCGTACAGTATCTGGACACCTTGGCGCCAAGGGTCTCTCTCGGCTTTTGGAGTGCTTCGGCATTTATGAGTGTAAATCTCTGGTACCCGGAAACCCGTGAAACTCGGAGAGTACCTATGTTATGTAATGGCCATCAGGCTAAAGGGGTCCAGCGTTGGTAGGCATGGGGGATTCAAGATTGGTGGAATATGATAATGGGCGCGATACTACTCGAGTATGATACCGGTATGATACACTTCAATTTAATGAACAGGCAATAGGATTGAAATTTCGTGAGCAAGCTTTGGGTTACATAATAATTATTACATAAGCTCATGGCCTTGGCTCTGGCTTCGAGGGGAAGATTTATTCTTTGAGGCTCTAGAGTTTTCGGAACTTACCGAACCTTGGCGCCCTAGAATTATACGCGTTTTGTAGAGCAGGGCGTCGGGCATCACGACACCAGCTTGCGTCCTTTGATCTTTGCCCTTAAACCGCGGGAGCTTCAACTTCAACCCACGGTGACTAACCAACCTTGCCGTGTACGGCTTTCCGCCTCTCCCCCCCTCTCCCACTCCCCCTTCCTAACCTGCTAACACACCCCAAACTATTTGAAGACCACCACCCCCACCACCACGACCGCACAAAATCGACAAAAGAGCCAAAGGACCACACGCCTATCGAGGGCGAATTACAGCTCCTCATGGCGTCTATCACCGCGACAAACGATGCGCCTCGGTCGCCTAGGGGGGATCCCGAAGCTGATGCTGAAGGAGAATCAGATGATGGAATCGAATACAACGAAGATAATGATGAGAAAATCATTAACGGAATTATTTCGGGTACAATTACCGCTGGGGATGACCCTCATGCCTTCGGGTTCGGCGACACGGTTGGAAAGCTCGACGATGCGATCGACTATGAAGATATCTCGGATGATGACCTCCCTTCCGAAGGTGAACCAAGTGGCAACAACAATATTGGTGGCAAAGAGGAAGTAGGAGAGGACGGCATTGCCGGAGATGAATTCGATGAACTATTTAATGACATAGGTGACGAAGCACCCATTGCCGGCGCTGATGCTTCAGGCGAGTTGGGAGGCCTTGAGGGTGTGGATCTAGATTTCATGGCACAGGAGGGGCTTGTTGGTACGTCGGAGATGGATGTCGGCCAGACAGCCAACGAGGATATGATGATGGGTTTGGATATGGATCTTGGAGCGCCGACAGAGGGGCCTTCTGCGGAGAAGCGAGCCACAACACAGGAGCTTGTTAAAAGATACTTTCCGGAACTCGACCTCAAAGCTAGACTATCCTTCAATGATCTCTTTGGGCCGAAACCACAGAGGTTGGCAATGGGTCCACCCAAGCCGCCAAAGGTCATTGTCCCCACGAAGTTAGCTATTGTGTTTGCACCATCCGACGAAACAGTGTTTAACAAACCTTACACTGGAAGGAATATGGCCAAGAAAGCAGAAGAAAGACCGGGGATTATTATCGTACCCCAAGAGCCGGAGGATAGTGAAGAGAGTGACGCTGACGTCGAGGATCCTATAGATTGGAATTCACCTCTTGAACGGGGTATAATGATGGCTTGCAACGATTGGGAAAGCAAGATGGATATGATTATGGGACCTACTCCACCACCTACTCCGCCTAGTGAAGTTCTAGAGGATGACGACGAAGATGCGGAGGAAGCTAACCGTAGGCCGTTAAAGGTTTGTTTGTTCAATTGTTTCGAGTTCTCCCTTTTTCCGCAAGCTTACTTATTCGTCCTTTAGCGTGCGAGACTCGCGAGTTCCTTTCTCGATGGTCTCCCTGATTCATGGCTTGCCGATGATGTCGTTCTTGATGGAAATTTGAGTGCCATTGCAAGCCATGTCACACTTGATCTTAACGATCCACACCTTTTAGTAGATATTCGCCAACCTAATGAGATAAGACCTACCAAGCGCATTGGCGGCGAATTCAAGCGTCGTATCAATAAAGACTTGGCGCAAAGATATAATATAAGCAACGACGAGGCGTATGACTTGCTGAAGGGGAATCTTCAAAATAAGGTTAGAAGTGCAATCGGCCAGTTGGATATTGAGCATAGTATGCCTGCTCTCCGATTACAGTCACCATACGTGAGTTTACATTTATTCCACCTAATATATGTTACAGTTCTCATTCATACACAGTACAAAACCAAACTCTCCACCAAAGAGGCCCGCTCATTTCACCGTCCCGGTTTGCATTTCAATGTCAACTATGAGATTCGTTTCTCGAAGATCAAAGCACGCAAGAAGAAGACATATCGTGGAAAAGATGTCCAGTCTGTCCTAAAAATAACTAAGGATTTATCTTTAATGGACGGCTGTAACTTCATTCTTCTTGAATACTCCGAGGAATACCCATTCGTTATGTCTAACTTCGGAATGGGAAGCAGGCTTATTAACTACTATCGACGCAAAGGGCCTGATGATGAGTCTCGCCCAAAGTGTGAGATTGGTGAAACCCAGGTTCTCATGAGCCAGGATAGGTCCCCTTTCTGGAACTTTGGAACCGTCGATCCAGGAGAGACCGTACCAACACTCTACAACAATATGGTTCGGGCACCCATTTTCAAGCAGAACCCCAAGCCTACAGATTTTCTTGTTATCCGCAATACACAAGCCAATCAGAGCCATTACTACCTGCGCAATATTCCGAATCTCTTTGTGGTTGGACAATTGCTACCAGTGACAGACGTTCCTGGTCCCCATTCTAGAAAGGTTACCACCGCGGCAAAAAATAGACTTAAGATGGTTTGCTATCGTGTTGTTAAGCGCAAACCCGAAAAAGCAATCATTCTAAAGGATATCGCCGAACATTTTCCAGAGAACAACGAAATGCGTCAGAAGATGAAAGAATTCATGAGTTACAATAAACCTAAGGGTGTTTGGGAGATGAACGCCGGCGAGGTAGTTCCGGATGAATCAGTCATCAGGACAATGGTTAAACCTGAGGATTTGTGTCTGTTGGAAGCTATGCAAGTCGGTGTTCGTCACCTTGCGGACTCTGGATATTCAAAGACGGTGGATGATGAAGTCGATGACGATGACAAGGAGGGTATGAGCTTGGAGCAACAGTTAACCCCTTGGGTTTCCACGAAGAACTTCATCAACGCTACATCCGGAAAGGCTATGTTACAGCTTCATGGCGAAGGGGACCCCAGCGGCCGTGGCGAGGCATTCTCGTTTGTGAAGACCAGCATGAAGGGGGGATACAAGCCAGTCGGAGAAAGCGTCGAAGAAAAGATGGACAAGCAGCGCCTCAAGGAGTTAGGCGGGCACGCATACAATGTCGCTCGCCAACAGCAAATGTATGAAGCCGCTATTGATCAGATCTGGAGAGCCCAGCATCGAAGCCTCAGTTCCCAAGTGGAGCCAGAGATGCCAGATACCGAGTTCGAGGACACGCACAATGACCATCATGAAGACCTTCTGGAAGAAGGGAGGACTCCGAGATCTGAGGCTGTTCCTCCAAGTCCATGGCTAAATAACGTTGATGTTGATGAGACTATGAGTCAGTTCTCCAGGTTTTCCGCGACCAATCGCCGGAATAAAGTTCTTAGGATTCAAAGAAAGTTTAGGGGGCCTAATGGTGGCGTTGAGACAAGATCTGAAATCATCCGGGACCCGAAGGTTATTCGTCAGTATCTCCAGAGGAGAAGAGAGCTTGATGCAGAGAAGACACAGTATGTATAGCCTAACCTCCTCATTCACGTCTTTAGAAGGCTAATGTTTGCAACAGAGTCGAAAACTTGGTTCCGACGGGCAACGAAGATGAAGACCAACAATCCCGCAAGAGGTGCTATATCTTCCATCCTGCCTCCAAAGTTATAAAAGCATCAAAGCTAACCTCCCCTTGCAGACTGGTCCAAGAACTCAAACGCCTAGAGCGCAATAAAGAACGCCGCGAAGCGCGCGAACGCGACAAGGGCAAGCGTGTCGGCAGTTTCGCTGGCGATGCCATGTCCCCCGAATCTGCCGCAACTCCCGGTTCCCCTATGCCTTCGGTCAGCATGCAGTCCGCCGCTACACCCACAGCCGCTGGATCGTCCTTGCCGAATAGCAAGACGGCTACTATTAGGAAGTGCAAGAATTGCGGGCAGGTGGGGCATATCAGGACTAACAAAAAGGTTTGTCCGAAGTTGAATGGGCAGTGGGCGGAACTCGGCATGAGTCCGCCAGATGGTAATACCCCGGCGCCAGTCGGAACCCCGGGTTCCTAGAGGAGGGAAGAATGGTTGAGGGGGAGACTGACCCTTATGATAACTAAAATTCCTGCTTGCTTGTGGAAAAGGGTGCGGGGTGTTATTGGCTATGACATACAGGTGGTATTTTCATAGTTAAATTCGGTACCGGTAGTCTATTTTCTTCCCTCTTTCTTTTTTATCCTTCTTCCCCGAGACCTCATCCCCACCCCCCCCCACCATCTGACCCAGTCCACCAATCAATTTCTTCCTCCTTTCTGTCCTCTCCATCCTTTCTCATCCTTCTCCATTTTTAAGGGAATAGTGTATAAAGTTCCATTCTTGGGAGTTTTTTCTTTCTTCCTTTCCTTTTCCTCTCCTCCCCCTTCCTCTCCTCCAAAAAGGAGAGTTGTCTTTGGCGTTGGTTTTTACCTTGCTTCGATTTGCACCGCTCCACTTGAGACTATTTCATATACGACGGTTTCCTCCCGTGTGCGCTATCAGGTGCATACATACTGGAGGTTATTAAATAATGGCTTTCTCTTTCTTTCTCATTACATTGGGTACTCATTTACTTGCTTGCTTGCGGGGGGTTTTTTGTTTACTTAGTTATTTATTCATTTATTTATACAAGTAGATTCTCGAAGAAAAAACTGAATTGTGGTATGTTAACGTGTCAGTGTGCTGTGCTGTATCCCGTGTTTCGTCTATGAAGAAAGCAAAAGGGTCGTATTACTTTTCCAGAGCAGTAAGAAATGCCAGATCTCAAGAGAGTACGAGTAGACTATCACTCGTTGCCACATAGTCTACTAACGGCCCAGAACAGATCAACGGAAACAATGTTTCTTCTTCAACAACAAAAAAAAAGGAACCTCTCCCATGATACTTTTACGGCTATTCTCCAGGACCATGAAGTCTCCCATATTTTGGACGCGGAGGATTGTGTACTCCTGTTAACTCTGCCCAGGACGACGAAGTGGAAGCCTGGAGCGGGGGGGAGGAGGGACTACGATCTATAGTCAAGTCTACCGGGGAGAGCGAAGACACCCATTGCTCTGCTCTGGATTGGTCAGCACAAATTGACCCAGGCATGATTCTGTCCTTTTGCGGGCGGCTGGAACGGATGTTACAAGTGCGATGTGTGGACTACTACCTACGGTATACTACGATTGTACCGCAATTCAATTATTTGGGGGGGGGGGGGTCTCAGGCCCTTGGTACGAGTACTTTAAACTACCTATAGAACACGGCCTGCAGTTATTTGTTGACGAATACGGTAGACGAATAACTTATGATACTATAATTATGATAAGCCAATGTGGAAAAACAAAGGGTGCTCTCGTCGGAAAGGATTGTTGGGCCTCCATTCCTCTTTTTTTCCTCTTTTTCATTTTTTTTCATAATATTATTGATATTGAAGGATGGAGAAGAAGGGAATTGATGTTTGATCCATTCTTTCTGTAAGGTATTGCATTTTAATGAAACTATTTCATCGTTGATGGAGCTTAAGTCACTTTGTTCATTAGGTGATTGGTAGACTACCGTCCAGGGCATTGCGTTCAACACCCATGCCGTGCGCCACTGCTGGTGGTTGTTCGAATACCGGTGAGTGTGGGTCTGAGGGGGTGGCTAGTTTGTGAGGTGAAGTGAGATTGCATGATGATAATGATACTGTTGGTTATCGTACGTGGAGCATTTACGCCTTATGCTATGATGGATAAGCTGGATGAGAGGCGGCTAGTCTATTGTACAATTTTGGGGGTTTGGATAAGGTATGTTTTCCGGGAGTGGAGGATTAGATATGTTGAGGTAGGAAGGAAGGAGGAAAGATGGGATCATATGGGCTTATCTCCTGCTCCTGGAGCCTGTCCGGAGATTGTACTCTCCTGTTGTGGATTTGGCCCGCTATCGATGAGCATAGCATCCTCTATTTCGCCCATCTCATCTTCTACCCTGTCAAGATTGTTCGCGGGTGCTGGTGAGTTGCACCCATCTTCAGCAGGCATCCATTCATCCCCCACCTGCTCCCCTCCCTGCTCCCCTCCCTGCTCCCCTCCCTGCTCCCCTCCCTGCTCCCCTCCCTGCTCCCCTTCCTGTTCCCCTTCCTGCTCCCCTCCCTCTTCCCCTTCCCCACCCTCACCCCCACCCTTAGCAACAGGTATCTTCCTCCTAGGAATAACCTCCAAAAATGCCCTCTCCCAATCCCTATATTCCAGCCAGCGAATCATAATCTCCACAACCTGATTCGTCGTCAAGACGAACCTACTCGCCATGCTAACGTACTCCCCAATCGGCAATTTCGCCGTCGCGACGCCCTGCGCCACCGCCTTCTTGTGGCAGAGGCCCTTGTACCGATTCTTGTCTACGATGGCGCCGACAATGTACTTCTTACCGTTCTCGAGTTCGGTGATGGTGTTGGGTGAGTCGGCGGTTAGGTATACCAGGTCTGAAGTCACCTCGTACGGCTCGGAGGACACAATGACATTTTTCCAGCGAAGGTGCTGGTTCGAGAGGATAGTTTGGTAGCGCGTTAGGAGGCGCTTGTTCAGGCTGGTTAGGTGGAGGGTTACTTGGCGTGGGGATGTGCGGTTTATGCTATAGCTGCGGGTTAGTTGACTGGAGAGGGATGTTATCTCCTAGGGTGGCATCGCTGCGTTAGTCTTTCAATTCGGCTTGATCCTCCCTGCGCGGTGGGTAGATTGAAGCAAAGTAGTAGAAGGGAATGAGTACCTTATCACTCATCAATTCATCAAACCCGCAATCCATAATCAAACTAATAGGTTCCAGCACCGGCCTCCTCCTATTCATGGAGCCGTTGTTTTTATTTCCATCGCCACTCGCATTATCCCTCTGCTTCAACAATTCCCCTCCACTTTCTTGTGCTGTTTCAGCGGCAGCTTTGGCCTTCGCACGCTCCGCGGCCCTACGTGCTTTCTTCTTCTCACGCTTGGCGGCTTTCCAAGCTTCGCGGGTCTCTTCCCAGCGCTTGGCTTTCAATTGGCGCTTGCGTGCGTTTTTGGAGAGCTCGGTGGTGTCTTGTGGATCGGTGGCGGTTGTCGTTGATTCTGGAGCAGTAGTGTCGGGGGGATCAGGGGGAGGAGGTTCTGTGAAGATTTCCGCGTTATCGGTGGGAATTGGGAGGTCAGTGGGAGGGGACATCGGGTATTTTTTGCAGCTGGTTTGGTAGTGATATTCAAGGGAGTGCAGCGATCTTATTCAACTCCAGTGCCAGGATCAGTAGGTCGAAGTTACCCTCCCAACCAACCAACCCCGCAAACAATCCCACCTCTTCCACTCGATCACTGGCGCAGTGCCGGTCGCAGTAGCAAGCGCTCAAACCACCATCCCATCACCAAATCAAACCAAACTTCCACCCCATCATCACATAATATCACAACCGCTAATGGTCCAAGGTACCCCATCCCGCGATCACCCCCCCTCATGATTTCCAAATATCTAACAAGAAATATACAGACCTCCCGCCAATCGGCGGCTACGCCCCAATCCAATACAAACGCAATATCCCTGCCAGGGGCCTCCGTCCAGCATATTACCTCGCTGGCGTCCTAGGAATCTGCACATTCGGGTTTTATAAGTGGGCCCAGAGTATCCGAGAGCTAAAGTTGCTCCTCCCCTTCCACTCTTATTCCCTCCCCCCAATTATACAGCTAACGTGTTGCGGAAGTGAACTCGCCCGCGAGAAAGTCTGGGCGAGACTGCATTTAATCCCATTACTCGAGGCGGAGAATGATCGTGATTTGGTCCGTAGACAGATTGCTGACGCGGAGCGCGAGAGGGCACTTATGGGCGATGTTAAAGGGTGGAAAATGGGGAGCGTGTATAATTCGAATAAGATCATTACGCCTAGGTATGGGTACGGGCCTGATGAGGAGTTGAGGGAGAAGCCTACTTAGGTGTTTCACGAAGTAATTGAGGGATAGTTCGGTTTCTACTGTACAAAATGCCGGTTTGTGAAGAGAAAGAGGGTATATTATATTCTGGTGAATTTGCCATTGTTTGACAAGGAATCAAGCATTGAAACTAAGCAGGACCAAAATGATCAGACAGTAGAAAGAAGTATACCAAAATTAAAAAGTGGTGGTACAGTGCCGCCCATAATGCACAGAAACCCGCACAAACCGCAACAGAAACTCGATTGACATGCGACAAAGAAACAGGGACCCGATTCACCCTCAATCTCTAAGATTTCGGATCACATAACGATGCAAGCTCTATAATTTCTTTTGCAAGTCTCAGCATACCCTTCATCGTCATAATCGGCGCTCATTCTCCCTACACCGATGATTTTAATCCATTGTTCGCCCTCGGCGTGCCACCATCTTAGAACGCTCCTTTCGGTGTCGTATTCCCACTTACCACCGCTGACAGTGACAGCTGTACCGTCTTTAGGAAAGTGGAATGGCGGGACAAACACCTCTGTCGGCGTGGTTTCCTCTGTGCTCTTCCCGGCTACAAGCTTGAGGTCGAAGGTTGCGCTCGATAGGGTGAAGCCAGACTCGACTATAGTGCCTGCTGTGTAGACTGGGGAGGGACGGACGAATGCCTCTGCCGCACGAGAACCAGCGGCAACAGCGTCGGGAGTAACCTTCTGCAGATCTGTACGAGTGGTTGACATTGTTGATGTAGTGAGAGCTCGTTTGAGGTTTGTATCATCTACGATCGTGGTGGAGTCGTTTGTTGTTGCAGAGCTATTTGGAGGGCGATCATCCAGCGAGAAGATACTTAGGTCTTCGCCATTCCATTGGTCACCCCATTCATGGTTATTCTAGAAACATAATTAGGAGTTGTCTTTTGAACGCTAAAGCAAGGGCAATTACCTCTACACAATACGTCCACAAGGTAAACCCAACCTGCGCTCCTTCTAGAGCATAGTGATTTGCGTCCATTGCTCTGATTTGGGAGATATAGTCCCCAGTTTTGTACGCATATTTATCGTCCATATCATAAGGAACTCCTATCTCGGTGAATACGCACGGGGTCAACCCCATGTTGTCTACACCCTCCTGTTTCATAGCCTTCAATTGATCTCGAAGGCAATTCCTTCGGACTCGAGTTAGTAATCTCGGGGACAAAAGGACGAACTGATCTCACCGGATAGCAGTCTCCCCGATCTTCAGCGCAAAGCCTGGCGCTAGATATCGTCCTCTGAGAACACCGAGAACATCAATGTTCCAAAGTCGGTTCCATTTTTTCGTCATGAGTGTGATCCCATCATAAAAATGTGGTGCATAAACCATCCTACCATGGGCATCGGGCGTATCCTTGATGACAGGTGGTATCTCGAAAACGGGTGGCTGGCAAAACATTATGGTACTTTTATGTATTGATCTTATGGCCGCGGCATACTTCCGGTAATGATCCAAAAAGTATGTTTCAGTGAACTTCTCAGGACTAAGCAGTTCACCATTCGGCATCTTGCCAAAATAATCATTTTTAAGAATCGTATCCGTTGCCGGATCCCAGACGCCATGTTGTGCCCAAATACACTCGCCTAATTTCCAGCCGGGATCCCTCTTCCATCCATAGCGGGAATCGTCATAGTCTGCCGGAAGCCATGCTTGCACCCCTTCCGGATCAACAAGGGCACTCCCGGTTTTATAAGGCCCAGTTCCGCCAAAGTCCCATGTGTCAATCTCACACGCCCTCCCACTTCCAGTCAAAATTGCTTGCCACGCCGTGGGCGATGTGCCTTTCCGGAGCTTTTGTTCAGGTGGAATAACATCAAGCCTTTGATACCCAATTAATCCACGATTGGGTTCATTTAACGACTCCCAGCCAATAACGGTTGTGTCCTCCAAATCGCCTGCCTCGTGTATCTTCTTTGCAAGATAGGCAACAGCACTAATAAAATGCTCCTGGAGATAATCCTGGATGTTCTTGCCGTCAATAATACATTTAGGAGCAAAGTCGCGGCCAGCGAAGAACATTGTAAATATAGTTTGGCATGCCAATCGTTGATAATTCGTGGACCATATCATCTTGGGAAAGGTAGCAGGGTCTGGCCAGGTATTGTGTACCAAAGCAGCCTCCGTTACATCAAAGGTTTGCGGATTCAACCCCATGGCGTATAAGGTCCACATGGGAGCGCCCGAGCCTCCAGAAAAGCGAGACCACTGAGAACAAAAGGTGAGCACAGCTTCCGGTTGGGACGAACCAGGGTCACATACCACGTCCTGATGAGAATCCATAAATATCATAAAGTCATACTCTTTTGCCTTTCTCAGCATAGCAACTGTACTCTCGATCCATTCGTCATCGTAGATACCACTATGTCTATCAGCCCTTCCTTCCTACCCTTCACCCAGGCATAGGAAAACATACGGGCCCCGCGCTTCAATGGCTTCCCAAGTATAAATGTAACGGATTACATTATAACCGCAATTCCGCAATCTCCGGAAGTGTACATCCGCATCCTCAAGTGTAAATGGCCGACCGACAAAGCTAACGTTATCACCATCAAAAAAGCCCTCCAATACGTGAGAAAGCAAGTTTGGCTTCGTCGGCATTTTCGCGTCCGAAGCAACATTAACGCCACGAAGAGTTACTTGACGATTATGCTCGTCGCGAAAGTAGGGTCCATCGACACTTAAAAAGGAAGGCATTTTGGAGCAAGCGAAGCTCTTGTAAGATGAATTGAGTGAAGTTGTCCAGGTTTCGCGGGCTAACCTGGTGTTGTTATAAGGAGCGGAAGTTAGGATTGAGGTAGCAAGCTCTCTCGCAAGGCAAGCTAGCACCGGGAACTAACCTTAGAATTGGCAAAATAGCACAAGGTGAGGCGTATTGGAAAGAGGATTCGTACTCGTATTAGACTACTCGAGTATCATACCATCGAAACTTCACAGACTACGAGACAGCCCCAAGTCAATCCGAATTCGAGTTCGAATTCGAGTTCGTGTTGAGGGTTGAACCGGAAAAAGCGGAATCAGAAGACGAATCGTTTCTCGTGTCTTAGCCAAGAAAGTAGATGCAGCAGATCTCGCTTTGCCCATGTTCGCCTTTCAAGATCGCAGCCGGGTAACTCATTGACCAAATATTAGGCCCGCAGAGACATTCGAGGCAGGGAGTTGCACCCCGCTGTCCCAGGTTTGGTTTCACCCAGCCGGACCCTCTGCTGCCCCAGATATCATACAGAAAAATACACCTCACTATCATATCCCTAAAAATCTCTGCTGTAACCCCTGCCCGCATAGAAAATATGTCCGCCGCCGCGCCCCATTCTAACCTAAAAACCTAACATTACAGCCCTCCAAATGAATAGTTTAGACTATGCCACAAGTGGCCCAGTTAGTATGATAGGAACACAGGTCAAATATTCCTCCACTTCCTTATCCTCCTCCTAACCATCCCCTTCACCACCGGCACAGATACCGGCCCCAGTCTCAAGGAGGGATGTTAACCGCTCTGTATTCGAGAGCTTCGCAGGCGGCGTCAGGAGGGCTCAGTGGTGGGGAATTAGAATTGTATATTAAGCACTCCCAGACCGCTTACTGTACCAAAACTTCCAAGCCATTCCTTGTGTCTTTTATTTGTTGCTCTACTCCTCATTTAGGCCTTGTACCATTATAGAATAGTTCACTAAAACCCAATCCAACCTTTATGTCGATTGATAGGGAAGGG